CGACAAAAAGTCGCCAAGGAAGTCTCTAAGGATTCCAGGGAAGTCCTTATGATTAGATCGATGGACACACTAGCCAGCGTCATTCGTCCAGACTTCACAAAGATACTCAGGCAGATCTAAGTTCATGGGCCTACAAAGAGCAAGAGACAGGAAGATAGCCAGCTCTAGAGGTAAAGATTCTTTTAAGTAAGCCCATATGGCAACTATAGAGGAGGATCAGGAAGAGGCAGGACACCCAGAGGTTCCCGCAATTATAGGCGCTGTAACACAGGTTGAACGACTGGAGTCTTCCACCCCAGCCGTTCCAGTACAGCCAGCTCAAGTGGGTGGGCGCCTCCAACTACACTGGGAAAACTGGGGAATATTGCAAGACCCTTACGTCTCCAACATTCTTCAACACGGTTTCGTATCCCTCTACAGGCCAAGCCTCCGCTGACAATCAAACCCCCAAGTTCGATTTACAAGCCTTAACAACTACCAAAGATAAGAGAGAGGCTGTTTCATCACTCCTATCCAAACAGGCCATAGAAGTAATAGATCAAGCAAACGTCGAACCAGGTTTCTACTCCCCAGTTTTCCTAGTTCCCAAGAAAAACTCCACGGAGAAATACAGACTCATCTACAACATGAGCTTTTTCAACAAGAACTATCTACACAAACCACCGAAGTTTCGCATGATACATTTACCTCAGTTACGCCAGATGATTCGTCCTATGGACTACATGGGCAGCATAGATCTACAGGATGCCTACCTGCACATCCCCATTCATCCCGATTCCAGGAAATACCTACGATTTACTCTAGAAGGGCTACATTACCAGTGGAAAGTACTCCCATTCGGAATATCATCAGCCCCCTGGCTATTCACGAGGATAACGAAACCGATTATCAAATTTCTACATCGTCAAGGGCTACGCAGTGCGTTTTACCTCGACGACGGGATACAAGTAGATCAAGATCCACTGCGTCTCAAACTACAGTTAAATTACATCATAAAGCTACTAACACAACTAGGTTGGTTAGTAAACTTACGCAAGTCGGACCTAGTACCATCGCAAGACCTGCAGTTCCTAGGTATTCGATTCATCACAAATCGCAACCGTATTATGGTACCAGAAGACCGTTGGCTCAAGATACAGCAGACCATTCCACCAGCTCTACTCTCTCCGTTACCACTGCGACAATGGCAGAGCCTACTAGGTCTTCTCACATCAGCCCAAGACATGACTGTCACAGGCAGATTACAGTTACGTCCCCTACAGGTCCTCATCAACGCACATCTCAGCGATGTACAACCATTCAGTCTACGAAACATCTCAGACCGCATCTACTATGGTGGACCAAGAAATCGAATGTCTGCGAAGGGATTTGTTTAGCAGAGCAGGAATACAAAACCCATCTGTATGTAGACGCGTCACTCCAAGGTTGGGGAGCTCATCTCACCAACCACACGATATCAGGATTATGGAATCAGCAAGAATGCAAACTCCATATAAACAGTCTAGAAATGAAAGCTGTAATCAACGCCATTCTACATTGGAGCACATTTCTACAAAATGCGCACCTAATGATCCATACAGACAATTCGACAGTGGCGTTCTACATAAACAAGCAAGGCTCAACGAGATCGATGAACCTTTTGAACCTAAGCTTTCAACTGTTCGATTTAATACAAGATCTAAATCTACATGTCAGAGCAGTGCACATTCCCGGAGCCAGAAATATACTAGCAGACGCTCTCTCTCGGCCTCATCTACCATCACCGACAGAGTGGATGATCAACAGGAAATTTTTGCACAGATAATCAAGCAATTAGGAGCGCCGCTAATAGACCTATTCGCCACGCGATTCAACAATCAGCTACCGACATTACGTGTCACCAGTCCCAGACCCCAAGCTTGGGCAACGGACGCTCTAAGTCTATCATGGAAGGCCTCAATGCGTACGGCGTTTCCGCCGCCAGCAATAATACCTCAAGTATTACAGAAAATCAGACAAACACAGAGCCTACAACTCACTTTGGTCAGCGCCCTACTGGCGGCCAGAACGTGGTTTCCATACTAATTCAAGAAATCGGTCAACCAACACTGGAGCTACCCAAGCGGCGCAAAACCTGTTAATTCATCCTCACACCAAACAAGTGCACGGAAACCCAGCAATGTTCCAACTACACGTATGGACTGTATACAAATGTGTTTAAACAAGAGAGGATATTCGCCAGGGCGGCAAAAGCAGTCACGCTTGCCTTCACGTTACTCAACTCGTGGCAATGCGTACGACAAAAGTGGCACAGTTTCAAAAATTATGCAACAAAGAAAGGGTTTACAGCAAGAGAGGCTTCACAACCTCAAGTGGCAGACTATTTGTGTTACCTACGCCAAAACAAACATTTAAAAGGTTCAACGATATCAACATATCTTGCCGCGCTTAGTTCTGTAATCACCATGAGAACGGGTGTCAAATTGACAAGATCTCCAGAGTTACTGTCCTTACTACGAGCTTTCCGATTGGAGGACCAAAAGCGGAAGTTCCACGCCCCAGCTTGGGATCTGAATGTAGTGTTACAACACCTCACGAGTGAGGTCTATGAACCTTTGGAATCGACAAACTTTGAATTTCTCTCACAGAAAACACTGTTTCTGCTATCGCTAGCCACAGCAACAAGAATGTCTGAAATTCACGCTCTGGATTACGAGAGGATACAGTTTGATGACAATCATAACACAGCGCACCTCGGATTAAGATGGGATTTCATCGCAAAAAATCAACTGCCAGGTCAACCAGACAGATTATTCCACATCCCGGCGCTATCCTCTATTCTCGGATCACAAGATACACAAGACCTATCACTGTGTCCGGTAAGAGCGCTCAAAGTTTATTTACGACGATCCAAAACAAGGAGAAGATTTCTCAAACGCTTATTCATCCCCTTATCGCCTCGAATCAAACAGAAGTGTCACGGACCACAATATCTATTTGGATAAGGACTGTCATTCTCCGTGCCTACAAGGCAGCAGGCTTGGACCCACCAACAGCATCAAATCCACATGAGATCAGGGCACTGGCCTCTACCCTCGCCCTACACGGTAACTGTTCCTTGAACACGATTATGGAAGGATGCTATTGGAAATCTAACATGGTATTTGCTAATCACTACCTGAGAGACATCACTACAGAAGATGTCTCTGGCATTCACCATTTCGGACCACTGGTCCTCGCTCAGCAACTGACAGTCCCTCGTAGGCGTTAAAATATTATCCTCACAAGATTAATATGTATTTTATACATACTCATCTAGCTTATAACTCTACGGAGTTTTAGGGCTATGTATATATGTTCAGCTTAAGTATTCAACCTTAAGCATATACTTTGGTATAGTCAATTTCAGTGCCTCTATCAGAGTCACCTATATATATATATATAATTTATATGTATTGTTCAATATATTCATAATGTAATTCCCCTTTAATGGCTTTATATAACCTATGGTTTTCTTTATACAGGAAACATCCTAAATCTAAGCCTTCATGAAGTTCCCGTAGGGGATATTACAGTATATCTATACAAAATCACTAATTATAAATCCAAAGTATTCTGTTACCCACCTCCGTTCCGTAGGATGCTACAAGCAAAAGAGCATGAGTCAGGATAAGGAAAAATATGTAATTTTTAGAGTAAAATTGATATTTTATACTTATCCTGACTCATGAGGTTAGCCCTCCCATCCTCCCCACATAACACTTTGGATTTCCCTGTAAGTTCAAGTGTTGGGCTCGCTAAATCAGGAGAGAGTGGAGCACATGGCCAGAGGGTGGCGACACCTTTCCCGCCAGGGGAAACAAAGGGGAGCAACTCGTGGTGAGTACCAATTAGTGATTTTATTTTGAAGGGAGCTTCAAATAAGGAGATACAAGTGTTCCACTATGTTCGCAAGAAGAAGAAGACAAGCAAAAGAGCATGAGTCAGGATAAGTATAAAATATCAATTTTACTCTAAAAATTACATATTTGACATGTGACACTTGTTTGCTGTTTATTTTATCTTAATTTTTTTTATGTTTGTAAATAATTTCAATGCCAATTATAAGAAATGTTAAATCTGAAATGTGTGTTTAATTTTATTCCATGGGTCCTGTGAATTTTCAATGGGTCAGACAGACATCTTAAACTTACAGGACCCAATGTCCTGTTACTTTGAAACACCATTCGTGAACACTGCATACTGACATACAATCACATTCTTCTCAGTGATCTTTCATAGCCTAGTGGATTAAACCGCCAGGCTAGTAAGCGAAGGGTTGCAGGTCCGAAACCAGGCGACCGCCTCCGTGGTGTAGTGGTTAGAGCGTCCGCCCGGAGAGCGGAAGGTCGTGGGTTCGATCCCCGACCGCGTCATACCAAAAGACGGTACGCGGCATTAATGGGTACAACAAGGACTGGTCGGCTAGGAGTCAGTATAATGTGTCTGAGTGGGGTATTCATGCTTCACTGCAGCATGGTATCTCAGTGGGCTAGCACTATAAAACCAGCTTCAGTCTGGGCTAGTACAAGCAGCCGCACATCCACATACACACCCATGCACGTCGTCATATGAGCGAAATTTTACGTTCGTATTCAGTAATAGCAAGACAAATATATATCAATCTTCAAAACTTGTACAAGTAATTCAAAGTCAAGGGCTATTCCTCAGAAAATCCCTGGGCAATTCTGTAGAAAATCCCTGGGACACAGGCAATTCTGAAGAAAATCCTTGTGATTTCAAGGAGAATGCCCGTGAAACTGCCTGTTGAAGATTACTTGGAAAAAGGAGATTGTCAGGTCCAGGCCTGATTATATACAGACTGGCCCAACAGATGGAACATTGCTTAGTAAAGCATTGGAGAAAGAGAAAGAAAGAAAAAAACAAGAAAACAGAAGCAGTGGAGAATCTTTTTTCTGCATCTTAGTGAGAGTGTGGAATTGTCTCCAGCTGTGCTAAATCAATATGATGTTTGTTTTCAGATCCTACCATTGTGACGTAGAATATATTCCTGCTACTGCTGTCAACACGCCCTTGCTCAACACACCATGTCGTATAGGGTACGTTCTCTAAAATAGCCGTTATTTCCCATAATTCACAGTCTTGTCAGTGCCGCATAATAATAATAACAATAATAATTATCCTCCATCTCCAGTCAACTCGTCCCTTCTCAACAAACCATGTCGGATAGATTAGGCAGTTCAAAATAAGCATTATTGTCAAATAATTCATTGAATACTACTAAACTTGGTGGCATTTATAGGGCCACAAGGTGGCATTTATACATGACCACTAGGTGGCGTTCATACATAGGGCCATAAGGTGGCATTTATACATGACCACTAGGTGGCGTTCATACATAGGGCCACTAGGTGGCATTTATACATGACCACTAGGTGGCGTTCATACATAGGGCCATAAGGTGGCATTTATACATGACCACTAGGTGGCGTTCATACATAGGGGACCCGTGAAGATCCGGGGTAGAATAGGTCTTCAGCAACCCATGCTTGCCACAAAAGGCGACTATGCTTGTCGTAAGAGGCGACTAACGGGATCGGGTGGTCAGGCTCGCTGACTTGGTTGACACATGTCATCGGTTCCCAATTGGGCAGATCGATGCTCATGCTGTTGATCACTGGATTGTCTGGTCCAGACTTGATTATTTACAGACCGCTGCCATATAGCTGGAATATTGCTGAGTGTGGCGTAATACTAAACTCACTCACTCATACATAGGGCCACTAGGTGACATTGTGGTAATTTTTTTAAATGAATGCTAAAAGAGGATGTGAGTGTGGGTACTGACCAGCTAATGCTCTGATAAGATTAGTGAAGAAAAATACAAATAGGACTTGCTTACTAAAAGGGATAGAACTGGACTTAGAATGCAGTGCGTTTGTTTTTGTTCTTCTATTCATAAGATAAATTATAAGCTTGAATAAGGTTAGGATTTCTGGATGATGTATGTGTCAGTATTCTTGGTGCACATGTACCTCCTACATGTCCAGCCATGATGTATTGTTACGATGTTGATGTGGCAGATGCCGTGTATGTTGGCACGAGGACAGCGTGGACCAAGACAGCGTCACCCAGGACCTGGTTGAGGAGCTGGACCCTCTGGCGAACTCTGGCTCCAGCAACTCACTCATAGGTGACTCCAACATCTACAACACAAACCTGTACACTGCAGAACCTGTACAATGTGGAACCTGTACAACACACAACCTATACAACACATAACCTGTACAACACACAACCTATACAACACATAACCTATACAACACACAACCTATACAATATGGAACCTGTACAACTAACAACCTATACAACACATAACCTGTACAACACACAACCTATACAATATGGAACCTGTACAACTAACAACCTATACAACACATAACCTGTACAACACACAACCTATACAATATGGAACCTGTACAACTAACAACCTATACAACACATAACCAGTACAACGCACAACTTGTACAAACTACAACCTGTACAAACTGTAACTTGTATAAAATGGAACCTGTACCGAAGGGAACCTGTACAACTAACAACCTATACCACATATAACCAGTACAACACACAACTTGAACAAACTACAACCTGTATAAGTTGTAACCTGTATAAAATGGAACCTGTACAGCATGTTACCTGTACAACACAGAACCTGTACACAACACACAACTTGTACAAAATGGAACCTTTACAATGCACAGCCTGTACAAACTGTAACCTGTACTGAAGGGAACATGTACAAAACACAACCTGTACAATGCGTTACCTGTACAATACACAACCTGTGCAGCCCATAACCTGTACACAACACACAACCTGTACAAAATGGAACCTTTGCAATGCACAACCTGTACAATCTGTAACCTGTACTGAAGGGAACATGTACAAAACACAACTTGTACAACGCGTTACCTGTACAATACACAATCTGTGCAGCCCATAACCTGTACACAATGGAACTTGTACAAACTGTAACCTATGCCGAAGGGAACCTGTACAAAACACAACCTGTACAACACGTTACCTGTACAACACACAACCTGTGCAGCCCCATAACCTGTACACAACACACAACCTGTACACAAGGGAACCTTTACAATGCACAACCTGTATAAAATGTAACCAGTACAGAAGGGAACCTGTACAAAACACAATCTGTACACAATGGAACCTTTACAATGCAAAACTTGTATAATGTACAACCTGTACACAATGGAACCTATACAATCACCTTTTGGAATGACCTGAAAGTTCCTCTTGGAACCCTATCTAAAAGGTTCAGTCATTATTTTTAATTTTCTTTTGCCAGAAATTGAACATGACAGTCCTTGGAAGACAGTGAAAGGATCATTTATGAATGTGGCTGTGCTGACTTTACCTGGACGAAGTGAGTTTGCTCCCAACGGCTTGAGTAAGTTCACACATTTGTGTGACGGCAACATGGACTTGGTGCTGGTGAAAGACACAGACAGGAAGGAGTTCCTTAGATTCCTCAGAAGACATGGCAATGCCAAAAATCAAGTGAGTATTTGTTTCAGGACACCACTACTATCGGAATTCCTCCATATATATTATATTTTCTTAAGTTATGTATCTTTCATTAATTTGTGATCATAGAGTAAATCCTACTTGTTATGAAACTTGAGAATATGAATTGGATTCCGTATTATGTCTGGGTGGTCTATTGTCTATTGTCTAGTTAATGCAGGCTTCCCTTTGTGCTCGGAACAGCTCACTGATAATGCTACTGTGGTAACAACCAGCTACGTATAATTGACAGTAAAGAGGACTTCTGTTGAAAATCTGAAAGCTGGTAGTAGTGTGATTACAACCACAATACAGGAGGTGAATTTAAGATCGTATTGTAAGAAATTATTCGATGATAACTATTGTTTGATATCAATGAAATTACTTTTATCAGATTTTATGAATTGCTGTTGCAGTGCCAAAATGTTTCAGGAAAACAGTATCAGATAATATTTAGATAATGAGAAAAGGGATTGGCCATGCTTGTGTCTTTACTTCTTAGAGTGACAATTTGATATAGTTTCCTACACTGTTATCAACCTAAATAACTTTACGTGGAAACATTGCTCTATGCAGTAAACAAGAAGGTGTTGTCCATAAAGTCATCTGCGTCACTACTGACTCACAAACTTCTCGAATGCCTACCAAGCACTCAATCTTATTTCAGTTTGACTTCCCATTCGTCGAAGTACATCGTGTGAAAGAGGTGAGATTCCGTCCCAGGTTACCGACGAGCTGGAAACACAGAGACCACACATTTAGCGAGATCGACTACGAAATGTCCAGGCTTAAAAGTAGAAAAAGCAGCAAGTCAGCAGAGGTACTCAATGACTTTGATCTGGACGACGCCTTCATGAGTCGCAGAGCATCTCGGTCCGACTTCAGAAGGGCAGACAGTGTTAAGGCTTTGAATGGAAGGAGTGATTCAGAAGACTCCGATGAGGACTCTGATGATAGTTCTAATGATCTTGATGGAGACAATGATGATCGACAGAGGCGGAGGAATCCTAAACGGCGACAGAGTGAGGTAAGGAGATAAAAGATTTAGTTCTCAAATTATTAGTATCTAAATGTGAAGTTGGTTGGTTCAATTCCCTGAACCCTTCTTGTTTCCCTGTCTGGCATACTGCGTGTATTTCATGATTTCTAGGCTTGGTGGGGTAGCCTAGTGGTTAAAGTATTCGCTCATCATGCGGACGATCCAGGTTCGACTCCCCATATGAGTACAATGTGTGACCATTTCTGGTGTGTCCCCACTGTGATATTGCTGAACTATTGATAAAAGCAGTGTAAAACTAAATTCACACTAAATGTGATTATGAAGCTCCAAATCTGTGTCTGAGTGCTCTCAGAAAGGACATCATTTTGCATCTTAAGAAAATCCCCTGCTTGGGCTTTGATTTCTTCAAAATGTTAAGCAGGGCTTGATTTAAGAGATGTAAACCTACTTGCACCAGGTGCAACCTAAGATAAAAACCTAGTTACACAAGCCAAATTCCAGTTGCACTGCTTTCATTGCAATATGTATATGCAATTATTGAGATGTTTTATTCAGAAGTTGCCCCACTCAAAAACTGACCTGCACCTGGTGCAAGTTAGACTAATAACTAGGTTGCACTTCGTAATATTGGGTTGCACCAGTGCAAGTAACAAAGCACTAAATCGAGCCCTGTTAAGTACAGTCGAACATCAATGTGTCAACGTTGAAGGGACCTACATAAACAGTTTGACACAGTTGCCAGATATTGACTAAAAAAGGAATACACAAGGACACATCAAACAGTGTTTGACTGTAGTTAGGAAAACTGTGCAGGGACAAAAGGAATAAGGACAAAAATGAACGTCTCAGATGGATTGGCCACGACAGTGTTAAAAGAAATGTGTACCGACTAGAGAATTGTAGAAAAAAGCAAATGTTACAGATGTATTGGCTGTTAAATGGGAGACATTGCTAGGTTTAACTACAACAGGAATACACAAGGGACCAAACTTTTTCTTCAAGTCAGCCTTACGCTAGACACATCTAAGTTTAACTTAACATTGTTTGGTAAGACTTCCGCCCGTATCCCCCCCAAATTTTAATGATGAGGAAAAGTGTCTTTGAGTTGTATTGTTAGAAGTTGGATATGTCTTTAGGTATGTTCGGGGCGGTGGGGTAGCCTAGTGGTTAAAGCGTTCGCTCGTCACGCCGAAGAGCCAGGTTCGATTCCCCACATGGTACAAAGTGTGAAGCCCATTTCTGGTGTCCCTGCCGTGATATTGCTGGAATATTGCTAAAAGCGGCGTAAAACCATATTCACTCACTCACTTAAGGTATGTTCAGATACAATTAGACAAACATGTTAAAACTCATTCTTATCAGATGAGGAATATATATTCAGGTGATATGATTTGACTAGAATGAAATTTAAGGGGGGATACGGGCGGAAGTCTTTCCCATTGTTTAACTGTAGTTAAAAACACTGTGTACAGACATGTGTAAATACTAGAGGAATACGGAAAAAGGCAAGTGTCCCAGATACATTGACTGTTAGTGGGAATAGGTTCTTGATGGATGCAATTATCTTGTGTTTGTCATCCACTGAGTTTGTTTGTTGACAGCCTGTGAACCCCCTGCACCAGAAGCCGCGCTACGTCGGGCCCCAATACAGACAAACCTTCATGGAACAGGAGAGAGCCAAAAGGCAGAAAGCACAAAGGAAAAAGGAAGAAAAGGCCAAGAAAAAGGAGGAATCTCGCCTGAATTCTTTCTGGAATATTGACAATGAGCTGTGCCAACAACGAGAACTTGATTTCAAGTAAGACTCGAGTAGTTTACCATGACCTTGAAAAGTAGGTGACCACAGGACCCCCATTTACTACTGACAAGAGTAATTTCAGGAAATATATGAGGGTCCTGTTAAGTAAAGAAATGGTGTCGTAGTCCATAAGATTCAGTAATTAGATTCAGGAACCTTATTATTTTGCCTTATCCTGATTCATGCTTATTTGCTTTCTCATCCTCTCTTCCGAACGGTTGAGTTGAAACTTGAATTCCCTCAATTCCCTTGAAGCAAACGTACAATCACTCACCCTGAATTACCTCCCTTATTTCCCACCAAAACTGGGCACGTGACCTCAGCATGCTCTGTCCTCACTCTCTCCCGATAAATAATATCTTGTCAAGAATCTGATAGAAAGAATATCGCTGTGCATCTTTCAGGACCCAATGCATATTCATTTATTATCCCACCGGCATATAATGCGGTGGGATATAGTCGTCGTCTCGTCCGTCTGTCCGTCCGTCCGTCCGTCCGCCGTCCGTCCGTCCGTCCGTCCGTCCGTCCGTCCGTAATCATTTTGTTTCCGGACCATAACTCAAAGACCGTTCGATATTTTTTAACCAAAATTGGTAGATATGTCAAAAATAACCTAAGGTGGTGCCTTTTGCTATTTACAGATAATTGTCATTTTTATTTTTCTCGGTTTCCATGGAAACGTTTTGGACTTAGTCTTAAAGAAGGGTGGGCTTCGTTTCCGGAGCATAACTCAAGAACCGTTCAATATTTTTCAACAAAACTTGGTAGATATATCAAACAGATCCTAAAGTGGTGCCTTTGCATTTCACAGATTTTTGGCATTTTTATTTTTCCCGGTTTCCATGGAAACGGTTTGGACTTAGTCCCAAAAGTGAGGGGTGGGCTTCGTTTCCGGAGCATAACTCAAGAACCGTTCAATATTTTTCAACAAAACTTGGTAGATGTATGAAACAGATCCTAAAGTTGTGCCTTTTGCTATTTGCCGATTTTTGGCATTTTTATTTTTCCCGGTTTCCATGGAAACATTTTGAACTTAGTCTCAAAAAGTAAGGATTGCTTTCGTTTTCGGAGCATAACTCAAGAACCATTCAATATTTTTCAACAAAACTTGGTAGATATATCAAACAGATCCTAAAGTGGTGCCTTTTGCTATTTGCAGATTTTTGGCATTTTATTTTTCCGGTTTCCATGGAAACGATTCGACTTAGTCCCAAAAGTGAGGGGTGGGCTTCGTTTCCAGAGCATAACTCAAGAACCGTTCAATATTTTTCAACAAGACTTGGTAGATATATCAAACAGAACCTTAAGTGGTGCCTTTTGCTATTTGCCGATTTTTGGCATTTTTATTTTTCCCGGTTTCCATGGAAACATTTTGGACTTAGTCTCAAAAAAGTAAGGATTGCTTTAGCTTTCGAGCACAACTCAAAACCTTATAATATTTTTCAACAAAACTTGGTAGATATATCAAACAGATCCTAAAGTTGTGCCTTTTGCTATTTGCAGATTTTTGGCATTTTATTTTTCCGGTTTCCATGGAAACGATTCGGACTTAATCCCAAAAGTGAGGGGTGGGCTTGCTTTCGAGCATCAACTCAAAACCTCTCTATATCTTTCAGCAAAACTTGGCAGATATGTGAGGCAGATATTGAAGTGATGCCTTTTAGTATTTGCAGATATTTGTGATTTATTATTTTCTCGGTTTCCATGGAAATGATTCAACTTAGTCTCAAAAAGGAAGGGATGGGTTTTGTTTCCGGAGCACAACGCGAAAACTTCTTAATATCTTTCAGCAAAACTTGGCAGATATGTGAGGCAGATCCAAAAGTGGTGCCTTTTGCTATTTGCAGATTTTTGTCATTTATTTTTTTCATGATTTCCATGGAAACGATTTGCACTTAGTCTAAAATCAAGCTGGACTTTAAGTAACTGTCAGATGATTTGTTCTTTCAAAGATGTGGGGGCCGGGGGGATATGTCATCTTCTGATGACTCTTGTTTTATTTGCCATGTTTATTCTGCCTGGAAGCACATTTCTGAGTCTCGTAAAATCCTGGAATTATGTTCCATAGTATTTTAGAGTTCATGTTGCCTTGAGTAAGTAAGTCGGCAGGATTTAGTGCTACTTTGAACAGTTATTTCATCGCAAGTCCTCTATCTGTTTTTATAATCTTTCGTACGGTGTTAACAACAAGTGTGATCCGCTTTTGTGTGTATGTAAAGTGGTACTTATGAATGTGTTTCTTGTTTCCCTTCAGAGTACATCATGGCCTGATGCAAATATGTGGAGAGGGCGTGTCACCTGACTGTGACAATGTGGAGGTCACTATGACCTGTCTACAGCTTGTCAAATAGGTCATTTCACGGTCTGGGGTCATAGTCATCAAAGGTCAAGGTCACCATGAAGCATAGTCATCAAGGTCATCATCGATCAAGGTCATAAGGATCATCTTTAAACAAGGTCATATTTGTTCAACGTCAAAGGTCATGTTTGATCAAGGTCATCATTGATCAAGGTCATGTTTAAATAAGGTCATGTTTGATCAAGGTCAAAGGTCATTTGATGCTTCAATTCACATAACTTAATCATTATATTTGCATTACTAGTTTAATCTTAGGTATACATAAATGAATTTAGTTAGTTCTGAAAGTCTGTGCATGGATGACCCAACGATGATGCTCATAGGAGATACTGTCACAATAATGCAACTACAGTTTACAATTTTTGTAAAATCTATGATAACTTTACTGATATTGTAAGGTAATAGGATACAATAACTACTACTATTATATTTTGAACAGTTTCAGAGATTTACACTCAAGTTCACAATAAGGTTGTCATATGTAAAAATAACATTGTTCATCATCTACTGAGATTTTAACTCTCATAAACAGGGTGTAACATAAAGCCAAACTATATACATAAGGAATATGATATCAGTATTTGAATGGTGCTGTGACTTTTTGTGTGACATTATAATCACTCATAATCATGTTTTATAAAAAAAACCCAACAATATTGAATACCATATGAACCTGTGAAGATTCAATGCAATGCAAACAATGCTTGTCGTAAGCAGTCATTACGGGATCGGGTGGTCATGCTTGCCGACTTTTTTTGACACATGTTAATGTATCCCGATTGTGTAGGTTGATGCTCATGCTGTTGATCACAGGATTGTTTGGTCCAGACTTGACTATATACAGACGTCATATCAGAGCTCCAGATAAGATTTAGCTCATGTGGGTACTGTACCCACTGTATTTTTTTGGAGTGGGTATTATGAATTTTGAGTGGGTATTTCATTTTCCGTTACCCACTCCTTTCAAATATGTGCGTATTTCAGTCTCTTTACTCACCTAAGTATTACGTCATTGAGTAAGTTTACTAAGCAGGTATGTTCTGCCTTATGTCATACCTAATCAAAACTCATCCTATACTGACAGTACAACTTGATAGCAATCGATGTCATTTTCATTACGCAAGCGATTTTTATAAATATATTCCGTACGCATTTGTTTTAAACTTTTTGCGTATCTAACATTTTCAATGCGTAATTGGTAAGCAACAATTTTTTTCAATGCGTAATTCTATGCGTATTTTACCCGGATACGCAGCTTATCTTGGCCTCTGGTCATATATACTTGATTATATACGGACGTCATATAGCAGGAATATTGCTGAGTGAGATGTTAAGTAATAAACAAACAAACAAAACCATATGAATTATGATGACCATAGGAATCCAGTCAACTTCATGAGCTTCATCTCTTGTACAGACAGTGTCTTGTCCTATATTATCCTCATCAGCTGTCATGGTAACCATTGTCATAGATTACGTTTGAAGCCTTGCATTTTGTTGCTGTAATCAAACATGATTGTTTCTATTAGTTTAGGTTTGTCTTTGTTATGTCAGTTTATGACAGCTGAAATAAGATGTTTTGAAACGTTACTGATCGAGGCCCATGAAGATCCAGGTTAGATTGGCCATCTTCAATTTATGTTTCCTGCTTGGTGTGCATATCCGGACGGTCCATTATAAACTAAAGTGACAGCGCTTGTCGTATGTGTGAAGTGAAGGGAAAATGTAACTGTTACATTTAGAGATAGTTAACCAGTATGGCCTGCAGCGAAATGTCGGCGCAAGAGAGTGACGTGTGAGTGGGGCTTTGTCTACATGTCGCAAACTGCACAGCGCACAGAAGTCAGACTGTTCCATTTCAAAAGGAAAGTTATCGCCCAAAACAGATTGCCCTTTGGTCTTCAGCAGCCAATGCTTGACTCATGAGATCAAGTGGTCAGGTTTACTTACTGATGCATGTCATGTATTCCAGTTGCATAGTTCGATGTTCATAATATCGATCACTGAATTCTCTTGTCCTGATTTGATTATTCATAGACTGCCACGATATGGCTGGAATATTGCTGAATATTGCTAAACAACAAGCAAACAAACTGATACAGGAACTTGAAGTACTTTATACATCCTTTAAGACTAAACTAAAGGCAAGAAATACAAAATACATAATGTAATTCAGATATAGGACCGACTAGTAGAAACACTTGTTCCTGTGAGTGAGAGTGAGTTATTGCTGGAATATTTCTAGAATCAGCGTAAGGCCATACTCACTCACTCACTCACTCATGAGGTGGAAAAATGTTTTTGCAGTTCGGGAATGTTTACTGTTATTTTCTGCAGAACCGTCCTAAATATTGGCCTCAGAGCAGGCTATCTCCCTGTGATTTATATCATTCTTGAAGTTGACTATATACAGTCATACCTCAGAGAAGCAGTCTTACAGCATGGGGGGGCGGTCAGGTAGCCTAGTGGTTAAAGCGTTCGCTCGTCACGCCGAAAACCTTGGTTTGATTCCCCACATGGGCACGATGTGTGAAGCCCATTTGTGCTGCAGTAATGACCTATTCTCAGAAATTAAATAGGACATAGCTAGACCCCATAGAAAACAAAGGCTGTGAAAATTGGTTTGCAGTAACATTTACCATTGTTAGGAATCTGACATGTAGAATATTTTTAAAATGCTCTTCAGCAAATTATTTCCTCTATTACTCAGTTTTTTTTATTGGGATTGAAATATTTTTTACTATTTATTCATACCCATATTCATATGCATTTGGTGTGTCATTGAGTAATTGTACTATCCCTGTCAAAAAATTGAGTGGTTTAACCATATCATTGAAGCATTAACCGAGACCATTACATGTGCAATGTGTTTAATAGATCGTTATTTTAGAACTCAGTAAAACTGATTATAGCTGTTTGATTTTTTTTCATTTTAAATAAAGTAATACATATAGATTGTGATGTACCGGTAGTCTACTCAACAGAAGAGGAGGATTATGTCATGATAACCTATAATAATGTGAAAGATTTGTGTGTTCTTTAATTCTTTTGAGGAGTTTTGGCATTAGAGCATGTTTATGTAAGTGAGAAAAATCTCTTTTTCATGGACTGTTTAATAGTTGATTGTAAGGTTTTTATGGAAATAAATAAAATGAACGAATGAATGAATAAATAAATAAATAAATAAATAAATTAGATAAATAAATAAATAAAAAATAAAAGAATAATAAATAAATAAATAAATAAAATAAGTCATATATGGATTGAATTTTTGTTCCCAGTGCATAGTACTGTCCCTTACTCACGCCAGGATCTGGTAATCAATATTAGAAGTCCCATATGTTATGTTTCCCAGTTCTGAGCCATGATCTGTCAGGAAATCATCATGTCCTTAGTTTCATGTAGGTTATATAGTCTTTAACAGGTTTTGGCCCAAAATTATTCTGACATGCAGTAATATTACATAAATTCTGTTTTAAATGCATTAAATCCAATCCTTCACTTCAATTTATTTCAAAACTTGAATAACTGACATTAAAATGGATGATCTGCAGTGGCCTCTCTGACCTCTCAGTTTAAGATCTAAAGACAACCCATGATTGGTTGTTTCAGTGGAACACCAAGTGAACTTTGACCACCCAATCAAAATAAAGATGGGTTGTTGTTTAAGCCAATCGGTTGTTGGCTTGCTAAAATGATTTGGCTCCAAAGTTGTAGCCACATTAATGAGAGTTTTGGTTTGTTGAATTGAAAACACACAAATATTTAATATTTCATTGATGACACTACATTTTGTATTTCACACCGTGATACTCAGGAAGGAGGGGATGTATTAAATATCCACAGAAATAAAATGCCACCCATAACATGTCGTTTTACACCGTTGTCAAGATAATTTGGTTTACATCTGCTGGTTTGAATATGCAGCTACCAGCGAGTAGAACTTTGGTTGCTTTATTATATAGAGTTCAGAGACAAAATGTTTGATACAAATTTGTTATTTTGATGTGAAGAAGTTTTGATTTTTTTGGTTTGTACAGTATTGTAATGATATGTATATTTATGTGTGTTTTAGTTTTTAATTTTTTTGTTTATTTCTTAGGAATTTACAGTCATGTTTGTTGCTTGTTGTTGGTTTGTTATGTTTTATTGATGTTTGTTGTTGATGCAGACATTTAGGCACATTTGTTAAATGTGTGGCAGATACATGTTAACTGTGTAACAAGGGGATCATGTCAAGCATCACAAAGGGCATACATGCAGTTTGGAACAATAGGTACTTTGGGAAAATGTCTTGCATATGTTAACAGTGTGTAACAATCAGGAGCATGTTGTGCATATGTTAACTGTGTAACAATCAGGAGCATGTTACGCATATTTTAACAGTGTGTAACAATCAGGAACATGTTGTGCATATGTTAACAGTGTGTAACAATCAGGAGCATGTTGTGCATATGTTATTAGGGCATATGTCAACAGTGTGTAATAATCAGGAGCATGTTATACACATGTTAACACTGTGGATCAATAAGGAGCATTCCATGCTTATGTTAACAGTGTGTAACAATAAGGAGCAGGTTATGCACATGTTTTTAGTGCATATGTTAACAGTGTTAACAGTGTGTAACAATAAGGGGCATATCATGCATGTTATACACATGTTAACAGTGTGTTACAATAAGGAGCATTCCATGCACATGTGTGTAATAATAAGGAGCATGTTGTGCATATGCTAACAGTGTGTAACAATAAGGAGCAGGTTATGCACTTGTTATTAGGGCATATGTTAACAATGTGTAACAATAAGGGGCATTTCATGCACATGTTAACAGTATATAATAATCAGGAATGTGTCATACACATGTTAACAACGAGCAACAATAAAGAGAATGGCACGCACATGATAAAAATGTGTAACAATCAGGAGAATGTTATACACATGGTAGCAGAATGTAAAATATGCAGGTTTTCATACATATATACTCATGAAAACAAATAAGGGAACACATGAAAGTACAAGTGTTCCTTTATTCTTTTCCAGACTTTCAGCCACAGTTCAGTACAAAGCTTGTGAAGAAACCTGGAAAAGAATTAAACAATAAAGGAACACTTGTACTTTCAGGTGTTCCCTTAGTTGTTTCCATGAGTATATTAACACTGTTGGATAACCAGCAGCATGCTGAGTGATATTTAGGAAGTTGTAGACATTGATACAGTGGGGTCTTTCAGTTCTGATGAACGTTTCTGTTTACATTCTGAGGCAAGAATGATTTCTTTGTGTCTGTAGATATTGGAGTTTTGCCATAATAGCTTACATAACATTTTAGGTTTTATTGATCAATAACCACCACAATCATGTTTGTAGTGTTGATACTTTGTTGGTAATGTAAGTAATGACTTTACATCTCTGGATATGAGAATTCATGCTATTTGATAATGGTAATGCCTTCAAGGTTTCGGGGAACCAGTGAGGAGAACCAGGCTTCAGTGGCCTGTCAATCAGTTGGTTCACTCATTATTTGATCTGTCATTCATCCATGAGTTGATCTGTCCATGAGTTGATCTGTCCATCAACCAGACACCAGTGGCCTGTCAATCAGTCGGTTCACTCATTATTTGATCTGTCTATCCGTCCATGAGTTGATCTGTCCATGAGTTGATCTGTCCATCAACCAGACACCAGTGGCCTGTCAATCAGTCGGTTCACTCATTATTTGATCTGTCTATCCGTCCATGAGTTGATCTGTCCATGAGTTGATCTGTCCATCAACCAGACACCAGTGGCCTGTCAATCAGTTGGTGCACTCATTATTTGATCTGTCTATCCGTCCATGAGTTGATCTGTCCATGAGTTGATC